TATATATATATATAATTAAATAGCAGCTCGTGGCTCCTTACGCGTTAATTAAAAAGAAATTATATAGTTAGGGAGGGAAAGGGGATCCCCATCTAAAAACAAAAAAATACAATAAACCTCTAGGGGTTCCACTCTCCGCAGTACAACACAACGCAAAGAAACAAACCTAAGGTATATGTAATTATCCAAAACGTATACCAAAAGAAAAAGTATACTAAAAAAAATACACGTACATAAAGTCCCAAAATGACAGTATGCATAAAAACCCATAGTAACAGTGGTGTCGAGGAGCAGGGTCAAACTGACGGCTTGTAGATCTAGTGAAGACCGCAACAATAAGAGCCAAACCCTGCAAGCAGTGAGAAAATCCACAAAACTTCTGCAGAAACCATCCCTGCCGCTCCAAGCAGTTCCCAAATGTCCGAAATTGAAAGGCAACAACTCCATACATCTCATGGTAAAGTTATCAACTCCAATACCCATAAATGAGATCCCAGACATCCAAAAGGAGCAGGCCAAACAAGATAAAACATGAAAACCAACCCCACGGTCCAAATTCGAAGACAAAACGGGGTGAAAAAGGCTATCAAAATGCAATTAAGAATAAAACATGAGGAAATCGAACAGATAAACAATAAAAGGAACCAATAATAACGAAGCAGAAACAACAGAGAAATATAAAATCCCTCTATCTTCTGATATAAGGCACGGTAAGTAAATCCTCATTTAAAAGTATTTCAAGTTGAGGAGGGGGCACCACACCCACAATAATTCGTTGAAGACCTTATTTGGCCAACTAATCAGCAGCAGTGTTATATTCCCTATAGATGAAATTAAATTGCAAAACCAAATTATGCCTTTTAATGAACCCCTGAATCATGTTAAACAGACAAATGACATTCCAAGTAGGGAAGGTGCTCTTATTTAGAATATTTAACATAGCCATAGAATCAGTCTCGATAATTAAAGCATGGCGATGTAATGTCACAACAATGTGTAAAGCATTCCTCAAAGAATAAAACTCAGCCTCTAAAGGTGTCGAGCCATAAACTGGTGAGGCAAAGTAATAATGAAATCTCCCCGAAGAGTTACAAAAAACGAGGCACAAGCTGGTGAGGCAAAGTAACAAAGGCATCTCCCCGAAGAGTTACGAAAATTCTCACCCGTCCCAGCAACAGATAAAGTCCAGCTCCCATCAACAACGAAGAGTTACGAAAAATCTCACCCGTCCCAGCAGCAGATAAAGTCCAGCTCCCATCAACAATAAGTTTAATCCAACCAACTGAGGGGGTTTGCCACCATATTAGAAGGGCCTTCCTACCCCTCTGAGGCAAATTTGAGCTTAATGCAATGGGGCAAGAAGCTTTAAGAAAATAAGCAATTATATATGAAGTGGTAAGAGCAGCTGTAGG